TATAGTTTAATTTCTTTAGTAAAGTAGCAAATTACATGAACTTTGCATTGGTTAAACCCAAAAACCCACTATGTCATACGAAATCAAACCTACTCTCGATATAGTAGTAGTAGTAGTAGTAGTAGTATACCGCAAAATTAACAGTAAGGGCTCATTATTTGCAAAATTTTACACTATATCTGTTCCACAGTTTCACCTTCCGAAATTAGAGACCCAATTCATCATTCGTAAGTGCTTACCGGGTCACTTTACCTTATCGAACTAACATGAAAAKGATTCAGAATCTTACCCAGTAAGAGCGATAACAAGGACCGAGAGTCTTACCCGGTAAGTGAGAGTAACGACTCTTACCCAACAAGCGCCTACCGGATAAAAATGTTCCTCACATAAATACATAATTCATATTGCAATATTCTAAGTTTTGATTTCAACATCTAAAATGGTAAAATAGAACAACATTGAYGYGTTTTTATATGTCAATAGGTTCGGAACACTTTGGAGTGAAAAGGGACAAAAAGAAGATTTTTGACAGCTTTACGAGACTATGGTATTTCAAGCATATCTAACTCGTCCGAGCTCGGATTTAAGTTATTCATGATGATCTGAAAAGCTAACAAACAGCCCCACAAATATTATGTTTTGAGTTTCTGCAGATTCAGACTGATTCTAAGACAAAATTGACGTCGAAGGCGGAAAAGAGCWGCTGRACAGCAGTTGACAGCAGCCACGAAAGTAGAACAACAGCAGGTAAAATAGAACAACAGCAGGTGACAATAAAGATGGTAAAATAGAACAACAGCAGGTGACAATATTGTTTATGTGGATGGATGTGCTTGGTTGCATTTACTTTTCATTCTGATATGTGTATGTTTRTTTAMTGTGCTGCTATTTTCTTCCWGYGTWTGTCTTTGGTTATAGAAATACAATAACAACTTAACTTACATAAGTAACTGTTTGCAGGTTCTGGTGGATAGAAAAGTTAACAACGCTAACTCTACTCCTCATCATGCTCATAACAAAGGTAAAGCGTTTGATTAGAATCATGATCTTAAGTTTAATGAATAATTACCACATAAAAATGGGAAATGGATTTTGAAAATCTAAGATGGCTCACTGTTTGCGTTGGTTGATGTTTTTCAAATGGAACATCTRCATCAAAACCAATCAAAAAGCATAAAAAGAAGAATTTCTATAGAYTTACTTGAGCACCATAAATTACGTAAAAGTAAAATAAATTCCTATAGACTTACTTCTTGTTGAATCACATCATCACACAAATGWAGAAGAATTCCTTTTCCACTATCCAATTGTTTATCATGCATGAACTGTGTAATTAAGTTATGATATGTATCCATATTTTCTTGAAACCTACATTGAGTTAGATCAAGATTGGTAACTACAACCATACACATCCCATAATTAATTGGAAAACAGAAACAAGGAACAGACCCTCCTCTGAAATACTCTGCAAGTAAAAAACATAATCTGTCCACAAGCCCCTTCAGATCAAACTCAAAGCACCTCAAGCTTCTTAATTTATCCCATAACCATCTAAATATGTTTTTTATGTATGCAGATCCATTATGTTTTTTAGTAGTTATATAAATATCTTCCTCTTTATCAATTCTGTATATGGGTCCACATAAGAAATATGGCTTACCTACAAAGCATGTTCAAGGCCACATGGCTTTCCTCAACAAATTTATTTCTTCAATCACACYTACAAAAAACATAACAATGCAGGCAGCAATTAGGATTGTGAGTAAATTTGGATTAAAAAGTCTCAACAAATTTTTTTATATGTTCAAAGGGAAAGAAAGAAGCATACAACAAATAGTAGAAAAATTCACCTCAGCTATGAATCTCTTTCATTTCTTGGCTTGTTGGTAGACCCAGTTGCTTCTGCCATYGATCAAACTACAACAAGCACATGTAGAGAAAATAGACTAAATAACATCTTATGTCATATAAACACACAATCGATTTCAGTTTTCTACAACAGCAGGTCAAGTTTCTCGTTCATGAAACTGTGGTACCAATTGCTATACAAAAAATCGATCGCCATATAAAAAGAACAAACCTATGATACCACATAGGTTAACTGCAGTTCAAGTTTAAAAGTGAGAAATCAAAATTCAATAGCATTTAAGTTCAAGAACTAAAAGTGGGAAATCAAACCCTAATTACCTGGACATAAATTGGAACGGAAGGAGTGTGTGATAGAAAGAAGTCTGCGAAAGAGGGTACAAAAAAGTGAACCAAAATCGATGGAGTGTGATTACCTAGATGAGAGACTGTAAATCAAAGGAAACAGAGTAAAATCGATGGAATCGATTGATTACCTGGAGATTGATAGACTGAGATTAAAGCCTGAGTGATAGATAGAGAGTGTCTCTTAGAAGAGGATGAGCCCGAATCGTTTTGAGTAAGGGATGAGTGTCTCTTCGAAGAGGATGCTTGAATCGTATTTTTSAGGGCAAGTCTCTCTSTYWYAGACCCTTCAAGAATCATTTCAAAATTGAAATTTGAAATTTGAAATCTGAAATTGGTAAGACTGAGAAGACAGYGATCGGGTACAGAAGAAGAAGAAGAAAGTGGCCCAAATTGGTGATTTTAGAAGTCTGATAGGGAGAAAGAAGGTTTGGCCCAATTAGGATTTGGTATTGTATGAAACATTTGCATAAATAACTTGTACATTATGCATGATAATTTGTAATTAAGAGATTTTTAAAATTCTTGCATAAAATGATTGTAACTTGTGCTTAGAAGGTTGTAATTAAGATAATGACTTAAATGCTTATATATGTAGTATAGATATATGGATATATATATATATATATATAATAAAATGGGTGTAAATTATTGTATTTGGGGTGGATGGATGGTAGGCACTTCCCCCCCCCCCATCAAGTTTCAAGTATGTACTTACTATATATTGTAAGTATGTGTGGGCAGGAAAAAGTTTTTACACACTTTCAACTTACTCTTCATATTGATCTGGGAAAAACTTGGGTAAGCTTAGAACAGAAGCAGATTTCAAAGCTGTGTTAAGGCAAAAGGTGAGTTCCCTACTGCTTTCAGTACATGTGGTTCTTATATCTTCACTGTATTAATTCGATAAAGTTCTAGCTTATGTTGTTTTGATGGGATTTAAACTGTTTTATGATTGTTGTTGTTTCATCACCCGTTAAACCTCCTAAAAACAGAACTCATCGGACAAAGCTTGTCCGCTAAGGCCCCTATCGGATAAGGCAGTGACCGATGAGGCCACTTCATCGCACACAAGGTCATTCGGGTAAGGAACCTTCACCGAATACGTAATGTCCGGATAGGACCCCTCACCGATCAAGGTTGTTCGGGTACTTAGTGTTGTCCGATAACCCTTCACCGGGCAGACTGTTGTCCAGACAATATTTAGAGTTGTCCGATAACCCTTCACCGGGCATAATATTATGTGGATAAGAATAAGGTATTGTCCGGTAACCTCTTCTCCGGACATAGTGTTGTCCGGATAAGTTAAAGTGGTACATTAATCTCTTCAACAGTTATGTACTACTTGGTTGACTATCAATAGATGAAATGACAGTGTAACCGCGATAGATGAGATGGCGGTGTAACCGCAATAGATGAAAGGGTGGTGTAACCACGATAGATGAAATGGTGGTGTAACCAATATATAAATGTTAAATTTAGATTTAGGTTTGTTATATCTTGGGTTTTTAATTAAGTCATGTTTGTATGAGAGTAATTCACTCACTAGACCTTTTGGTTTAATGCTCAATTGTTGTACTAATCTATTTTGCTGGTCATCCATCATCTCAGGATAAAGGCAAGGGAAAAATTTAAAGAAGTGATATTTAGAAGAAAGTGTTATTATTTGATAAAGTTTTTGTTAATCCATACTCTTATTTTGACATGTATATTATCCTGGAATGTTTGTATAACTTTGGTATGGAGAATGTGGAAATCTATGATATTATTTTGTGTATTAGTACTGTTTCGTGCATGGTGGGTTGTTTCAATTTGTTCTGAATGAAAAGTAATGACAAAGTACATAATAATATAACCAACATATCTATGAGGTATCATATGATTTACCGCTGCTGTCACTGCTACATTGACCGATCATAGAACAATAGGATCCTGGGAGGTCCCAAAACGAAAAATACGGCTCTTCTTCTGTCCTTCAGACTCTGCTCGTAAAGAGATGCGTCATGAGGGAGAGGGATGTCACGGTCTCAGTAGACTGTGACTCTTCCCTAAGCGATTGAAATCACTCCTATGGTTTACCAAAACGAAAAAAACGGGTGAACTTGTATATGTAGACATTTCAACAACATAAGGGTTGTAAACCAAACATATCAAATATTTGTTTTTAACAATTCAAACATTCTAATTGCCAATAATAGTCACGCTCTCAACCAACCTATATACTTAGTCTAACATTTGTCCAACAATGGATGTCCAAACTAATAGCATCAGGACGTTTAATAAAGTATATTACTTTAAATCTACCATACAAAGTAATGGTTTTAGAAAACTTACATAAAATCTAGCCGCTTTGGGGTAACTGAATTGATGCGGCTTAGTAGGCAGGGTGGACGAACCTGACATAAGCTTTCAGTTCGTGCAGTGGATACGCTCAAAAACCTCGATAGTAGTCAAGTCGCGACCTAGTGCCTCTATCTACGCTAGACAGTTAAGTAAAGGTGTTAGTAAACATCTACATATTCATAAAAAATTGTATGCTCACCATCCTGTGTCGATGTTGTGTAGTACTGATCGATCCTCCAATGTGCCTAGATGACACTCCTCAAACTCGGTATTTCAATTAGCTTTATTGATCCTAGATTTCCTTTTCAAAGCCTTGATATACCAAACATGTAAAAACATAACACATAATTCGGTACAAAAGACATGTCAATACGCAAAGCTCATAATAAATATAAATGTCTAGTCAATCATTTGGATCCAAAACCTCTCTAGGATCTATATAGGGTTGTGAAATCTAACCTGTGAGAAGTCCTCACTGTCCCTCTTAGTACGGATAGGCCTATGTTCAGGCCCAGTCAATGATGGCTCTTAATTAACTGTAATGGGCCTTGATGAGTTTAGATGGCATAAAAACATATATACAACACACACAAACATACACACATATATATAATTAACAACAATAATCACACACACACACACACATTATCTATACAATATACACATGCATAAAAACATATATACAACACACACAAACATACACACATATATATAATTAACAACAATAATCACACACACACACACACATTATCTATACAATATACACATGCATAAAAACATATATACAACACATGTGCATATATAATTAGCAACATGTATATATGCGGTTATCAACTAACACACACATACATCATGTATATATAACACATACCAACGAACACATATCACACATACACATACACATGTTGTTGATCCTCTCTCTCATTGATTTGATGATAATTCTTTTTACCTTTCGAAGTATTAGTGTTTCTGTCTTTTCAGTTCCAACGATCATCACTGAGTCTGTTCAGTGATCGCTGAAACACGCATTGTAAATCCTACAGCGACAAAAATACTTCAAGAAGACAAAACTCACACCAAAGAACCTTCAGTAAATGTCGAAGATTGAAATTGAAGATTAGTGGTTGGCACGTTCGTGATCTGAAGCGGTATTCAGTGATTACAACCTGGTCAACATATGTGTGAAGAATGCACAAGCCTCAGTGAATGCTAAAGAGACCTCCAGCGTTATTCCAGCATTCAGTGATCAAATGAAGCTTGCCATGCACGATTGTTTTCGTCTTGTCCTTCCACACAGAAAGGACAACCCATACCCTTTCAAGAGTATAGTACAGCATGGAGCCAACTAGTCGACTCTAGTGGCCAACAACTCCACGAAAGGATGTCTGCTCATGAATAGAATATTTTACTATTCATTATAGCAAAGGACAAGCTTTCCTCTTAAAGCTTGACTCGTATTCCAACCCTTCTGATTTACATTTAGTGCAATGGCTATGAATATCCGAGTGCTCTCTCAATGCAAAACAGAGAGATCACATATCTATCTAAATAACACATACGCTTATCTTCAAGCAAGTTAGAATCCCTCTGAAGAATTCTAAAGTTCTTACCTATGAAGAACATCCTCCTGTCTTCATCTTTTCAGCAAATCTTTTCTATTTGCTAAGTATATTGGTGTGTAATCTTAGATTGTTTTAGATAGACTATCTTTACCTTTTCTATTTCCACAGACAATCTGCAAAAAATCTGTAATCTTAGATTGTTTTAATATGAAATTTTTCTGTGTTTGTATTCATCCCCCCCCCCATTCTACAAACTGTTTGTCTAAAACTCTTGTATACCCGGCTGGGACCAACAAGTGGTATCAGAGCAGTGTTTACTTATCGTCTTGTATAGTTGTTTATCTACATTTTATTATCTTTTCTTCTCTAGATAATTTACTGTTTTTCAAATGGCTTTGCAAAACACAAGCACAAACTTTCACGATAATGCCTCCTTTGCCAAATCTCCCTGATTTATAAGAGACAATTTTAAACTCTGGAAAAATCAGATGTCTCTTTTCTTGGAAAGTGTAGATCCTAAGATCCCACATTATATAGAGAATGGACCTTATGTTCCATGACAAGGCTTCAGCGGTCTACTACAACTATCAACGCAAAGGTCAGTGAATGCAGGTCAAAGAAGACTGTGATGCCATCTTCAAAAACCCCATCCTCCTTCAGAGCCAAAGACGATAAATATCTAAAGCGGAAGGAGAAGTACAAGAAACTGAAGAATTCTCAGCGAAAGGGCAAAGGTCTTGTCGTTGAAGAACATGATTGTGCTGATCGTCTGACGAATCATCCTTAGATGAGGAAGATACGGCCTACCTCTGCTTAATGGCCGAGGATGTCAAGGAAGAAACTTCTGAGACATCAACCTCCAGTGATCCTTCATCATCCTCTTTTGCTGTAACACCCCAAGCACCATATTTGCATATAACATATATTTCATATAAAAGAAATATAGATTACACCACATAGGTCTCACTAGTACAAGGATTCTATGTGTACACAATTTACATATGAAAATTTTCAAAATAATATCCTTGCACTATCACATGTATATCAACATGTATATTCAAAATACACAGGAATCAAGCTGATCTTCATAAAACAGATAACATATGAGAAAAATGATCATATTTTCCCCTTCACCTTATTATCCCGAGACCCCGCAGTTCCTGTAATGCACATTTTTGAAACACAAACTGAGGGTTAGACCGGAAGGTCTAGTGAGTAAATCCCTTCCTTGCAAATGCAGGGTAAAGATCACCAAAGCTTGATAAAACATCTTTTATGTAGAAATAAGTGCATTTCAGTAAAAGCACGTAATCTGTTTGTTAATCAATATATA